TTTAATAGTGAATAACTAAAAATTTTTCCCTGTAGGTTGTGAGTGATAAAAGGAGGACCTTTAGCATTACCTCTATTCAATATTATACTAGAAGGACTAACCAGTGCTTTAATAGAAGAAAAGGCACAAGCATTGGAGAAGAAAAGTAAAATCAATCAATACTAATAAACAGCACAAATGTATACACAAAAATCCATAGTAAACTGAAGAAATATTCAATAAGCACAACAAAGAGAAAATGAGATCTTTTAAAGATATTTATAATTACATGAAAAAGTAAAATAACAGAATAAGTCTGGAAACAATGTGTAAGATCTCCTACCAAAAAAAATATAAAATGTATTAACGGAAATGAAATAGATCTATATAACTAGAGAACTATACCAGGTTAATGAATCAGAAGACTTAATTTAAATGAGCCAATTTTCTCCAACCCAATGCATGGCTAATCAAAATTCCAAGAGAACTTTTGTGGAAGTTGATAAGTTAATTCTAAAGTGTATATGAAAATTCAAAGTATCAAAGTTGAAGGAGCATAATACACTAGGAGAATTTATTCTATGTAAATAAGTTCTCAAATTTGGTTGCATTTATAACCATCAACAGCTGTTGAATCCAATAACCTGATAGGGATGACTTACCTTACATAATTAAATCCTTATCTCTTGAGGAAAGATCCAGGCATTTATGTCTTAAAAACAATACAAGTATTTCTAATACGCAACCAAGTTTCAGAACCACAGTTCTACAGCATATTATTATATATTATATAAATTATATATTAGATGTTGCAAATCTACATTAATTAAGACAAGTGAAATTGATAGAAGAATAGCAATTAGTTGAGTGGAATAGACGCTACAGAAAAAGACATAGGCATGTATAGATACTGTTTGTGAGGAAAATCATAGGGAAAAGACAATTTTTCAATAAATGTCACTGCACCAGTTAGCTCTATAGAAGAAAAAAATAAATGTTAGCTTCAACATCAAATCATATACAAAAAGCCCCTCAATTCCGGGCGGTGCCTGTGGCTTAAAGGAGTAGGTGGAGGTGGTGGGTTCAAACCCAACCCAGTCAAAACTTGCAAAAATAAAAAATAAAAAATAATTTTAAACCCCCCTCAATTTCAAGTAGATTGCAAATAAGAAGGTGAGAGTAAATGATAGAATTAGAATTTCTAAAAGATAATAGGGAATATTTTATTAAAGTTAGGGTAAAGAAAAATTTCTTTGCCAATACAGAAAAAGAGAAATAATTAAAAATTGACTACACTAACACTAAAATTAAAAGCTTCTGCCCATTTAAAGACACCATTAAGAAAATGAAATGTTAAGCTCCTAGACTAAGAGAGGACATTTATAACAGAAAGCTAACAAAATGGTCAGTATCCCAAATACGTACAAAAGCTGTATCAAATCAATCACAAAACATAAAAAATACAACAGAAAAATGAATAAGAGATATGAACTATCTCTTCATAACAGATGATCTCCAAAAGACCCATACATATATAAAAAGTTATTGTATTTCATTAGTCATCAGGGAGATGAAAACTAAACCATGTGTCACCCCCATTTTCTTACCAAAATGACTACAATTCAAAAGACTGATAATATCAAGTGTTACTAGGCATGTGAACTAATTGGAACTCTCATATACTGCTGTTGAGAATGGAATTACTATTTAGCAAACTTGTTTTGCATTTTCCGCCAAGGCTGAATATATACATACGCACACACATATATACATATATATGTATACATATCACATGGCATAGAAATTCCACTTATTTTTACATTGTATTGAATGAATATACACATGAGCACACACGTGCAAGAATGTTCATGGCAACATCACTGGTAACAACTCAAAACTGAAAGCCATCTAAATGTCCATCAGCAATAGAATGAACAAACAAATTATAGTATATTCATCCAATGGAATATTATGCCTACTGAGAATGAATAAACTATATAAAACAATAGAGATTAATTTTAAAAGTAGAATGTTAAACATAAATGTCAATTGGAAAAGAAATTTTCTGTTTATATAAAGTTCATAAGTGGATAAAAGTAATGATGACAGTTATCTCAGGGAAGATGATAGATAATGGCTGAAAAAGGACACAAGAAGACGCTTCTAGAATACTTTCTATTTCTTGACCAGGGTAGCAGTCATGCATGTGCTAACTTGTGAAAATTCATCAAGGTATTGCTTTTATTCCCCTCTTAATTGAAGTATAATATAGTTGTAGTGAAATAGGAAGAAAATGGTCTGGACACATGGGGAGACATACCATGTTCTTTCTTAAGACAATATAAAAAATTAGTTCTTCCCAAATTAATCTATAAAATCAATGCAATGAAAAAATCCCAACTGGATTTCTTAGAGAATCAATTAAAAAAAATTATCGGAAAAGTCACAATAAGCTATTATGTCACCCTCACTTAAAACAGCTTTCATCAAAAGACAAAAAATACCAGATGGAGGTTACTGAAATGACTAAATAATAGAATTACAATATGATCCAGAAATTACACCATTGGGTATCCATCCAAAATAAATCACCATGTCAAAGAGTTGTCTGCACATCCATGTTTACTGAAGCACTACTCACATTTGCCTAGATATGGAATCAACCTAAGTGTTCCTTAACAGATGAATGGATAATGAAAATGTGGTACATCTGCACAACAGAATACTATCCAACCAGAAAAAAGAATGAAATCTTGTCATTTCTGCTTCAATTCCACCACTCCTGTGACCAGAAATGTACACTTACCCGGACTCTCTGCTCTCTGCTCCCTTCGCTCTCTTTCTCATCTTTTCCCTTCCCTCTCTTTTCTTTCTCTAATATAAAATAAAATTATACGTCTATATCCTAAAAAAAGAAGTAATCTCTTCTGGATGGAACTGGAGGGCATTATGTTAAGTGAAATAAGGCAGGCACAGAAAAACAAGTATCATATACTCTCTCACATGGGAGAGCTAAAAATACTGAACTTATGAAGGTAGAGAGTTAGAAGGATGGTTACCAGGGCTGGGTTATAAATACAAAAATGCAATTAGATAGATGAATATGATCTGGTATTCAGCAGCACAATAGGGCAATTATGGTTAACTGTAATTGCATATAAGTAATTGTGTGTCTCAAAATAATTAGAATAGAATCAGAATATTCTTAACACAAAGAAGTGATAAATGTTTGAGGTGATGGACATCCCTGATGCCCTGATTTGGTCATTACACATTGTGTCAAAACATTGCATGCACCCCACAAATATGTACAATTATTATGCATCCACAAAAACATTTTCATAATCTATGAATAGATAAGTCAAGTTAGAAAAGAAAAGAGAGTAAAAATAGGGCACTGGTCTACACGTTGTCTTTATAGTAACACTTATTTCAAATCCACAGTTACAAAAATACTGTGATTTTCAAACAAGAAAAAATAGACTAACAGAATAGAAGAAATATTTTAAAGAGAAGCTGATACAGATGTGAGCATATGTCTTAAAGGGAGACAACATAATAATATAAATTGCTGGAGAAAGGAGAACCAGATTAGCAAATGGTGCTTGGAAATCAGGTGTATTGTACAGAGAAAACTAAAACCAGATGCCTGTATACTTCATAGCAAGGTATCCTACACAGACTAAAAATTAGACATAAAATAGAAAACTGTAAGGTTGATATAAAACAATATAGAAGAATAGCCACGTAACCTTGACATGAAGAAAGACCTTTTTACACAAAACCTCAAGAGCACAAACCATGAGACAAAAATCATTTAGAGCTAGCTTAGAATAGGGACATTTATATCATTATATACAGGGCAAAACATGGTCTCATTCCATATAATTAGTCTGCAAATGAATTAAATAAAGCCCCATGCTAAACTGATAACAACCTGGACCAATTCATCACAAGCACGTGTGCATGTAAACTAGAGCTGGAGTTTGTCATTATAACTAATTCATTCTTTTGTCTATGAATGGAACTTGCTTACCAACAGTTCTTTAAGTCATTTCCCAGTAGTTTGTCTGGACCCGACCCTGGCCCTGCTACTGCTTCAATTCCCCCACTCTTGTGACCAGAAATGTACACTTACCCAGACTCCCTGCTCGCTGCTCCCTTCGCGCTCTCTTTCTCATCTTTTCCCTTCACTCTCTTCCCTCTCTCTAATATAAAATAAAATTATACTTCTCTATCCTAAAAAAAACAAGTGTACACTTCTCTAGAAAATGCATCTCTGTGTTGTGTTTGATCAACCTAACCATTAAAAGATTCCAGCGTGTATGTTAGAGGTTGTCATATTCTTTTACCTGAATTAACAAGTAAGTAACACAAAAACTCACTATTCCAGAATTCAAACTGAACTCTGACTTTTAAAAAATTACCTTGTTGGTAATTTATTTCTATATCTTCACATAAAAATTATCTTTATTTGAGGTATTAGGAGTTAGGCCACAACAGAGAGAGAACATTAACAGTAAGCAATATTTAGAAATGGTTAAGAGTTTGGGAAATCCTTGAAAATATTTCTTTGTAAACAGTGTGTTTTTGATAGTTGCTTTTTTTTAAGAAAAACTAAATTTTATGTTTTTAACATAAGTTTCAATAACTTTTTCCCCCCACTCTGCCTTCCTGCCCCCTAAATTTCAATAACTTTAAACTTGTTAATCTTGATTACAATTTCAAAGAACAGGCAGAAATAATGCACCTTTCATTTTGAACTACTGAAGACCTACAAAATCTCAAAAAGGTTCAGTCAGTTCTTTATCTCTGCCCATTGCAGAGTCCCATCTAGTTTCTCTCTTCTCCAAATCTGTTGGATCTTGACCATTCATCAGTCAGTTGACTACTTTCTTTCGCAATCATCTTTTCTTTCACAGAACTCATATATTCTCTATTAAAATTTCCCCCTTCAAATCCCCAAGAATATGCACTCTGCAAGTACATTGTCACCAACTAAAAGGTTGAAGAGTGCTTACCTTCAAAGTAGATGCCAGACTGGATTTCCAAGACCCTGGGGAGGGTCCTGAGGTCGAGTGAATGGATGAATTCTTCCAGAGATGATGCCATTGCTCCGGCTTGAGTTGTGCGCAGACCAGGTACTTACAGAAGAGTGTGGTTCCTAGGGGGTCTCTTGTCTGCAGCTGCAGTCCCTGCTCATCCTTCTTCCAGCAGCCAGGCAGGGATGGGCCACGGGGGCCAGACTGGGGTGGAGTAGCTCTATGTGGTAAGGGCAGTGAGGAGGGAGGAAGGAGGCAGGAGAGAAAAGGTGTTGCAGCTTTTTTTGTTCGCATTGTGGCTTAATTTCCTTCTGACAGTGAAGCAGAACAGGATGGGGGTGGGGTGAGCAAGTCAGAACAAACGCTGAATGAGACTGGGTAACCGGCTTGCCCCGTCCTGGGGAGCTGAGCTGAGGATCTATACGAGTGGCCAGACTAGGGTCGGAGGGGCCGGGGGCTTGTCCACCAAAAACAACCAGCAACGCGGGACTAAAAGTCTAATCTTACAAATGGCACGACTTGAATTCATTATCTCTCTAGTTCATTTCCGAAGTTTGGCTTTGTGCCTTATTTGCATACTCTCAGTGCTCTTATATTAAATTTGGTTATAAAAGTGCTTCGCGTCAGCTCTTTTTAGAAATCTGAGACTCCGGAGAGAGTATCGAAACCACTTTTTATTCTTCCACATTAAAAATTTTGCTGAATCTTCAAGGAAGGTAAGGTAGGGGTAGAGCACACAAAGTGATACAGTAAATTAATATAGTAAAATGAATATTTCGGTCTCCACGCTGCGGGGAAGGTATCTAAATCGGCTGATAGGAAACCTGGGTTTTCTGGGTTGAGCTCTGCTTTTGATGCAAGGTGACTTACTTCAACTTTGTCTTCACTGATCTTCATTTGTCTCATTTATGAAATGAAGAAAAATCAGGAGGCAAGTAAGTCTTATAATTGCTTCCCAGTCCAAAATTCTCCAATTTTGTTCTTGTGGGCTGAGTTTTGGGGTTTGGGGTAGGTGGAGGAGGGTGTGAATTCCCAAAGTCGAAGGATGCAGAAGGCTCATGAAAATCAATCTGTTAAAAAACCTTCTGCTGTCTATATTTAACTGGAAGAAGGTTTTAGCGCTAGCATTTGCCGTTCAAGGTGATATCTCCTAAGTCTCTTAAAGGGTCAATAAAGGACTATTGGTTGGTATGTACTCACCTGAAAGTTGCTAAGAAGCCTCGCGTTGTCCTCATCCATTGAACTCCAGGCTGCCTGTGCACTGTTTTGGCCTGAGGCTGCAGCACGCATGAGCCAGATAGAGAGGGTCAAAGGACGTGCTAGCTCTATCCTACTCTTTGTGTAAATGACCTACAAAGAAAAATACTGCCTTATTCTGATACAGAGCTTACAAAACTCTTTCAACTCTTCATAAATTATATCTGACACTTGCAATCACCTGCCTGGCTTTTCTTTCTTTCTTTACTAAACTAGAACTTATGGTTGGCCACATCAAGAGGTTTTCTTCATCAGTAGATTCCACTTCCTCACGTGCAACTCTTTTGTCCTAAAACCCTCCAAACTGTTCAGTTTGTTTCTGCACCCTTCCTCCCAAGTTGAGGTTGTTTGCAGCCTACCACTGCATTTCACCTGGTTAAATATATGAAGAAGGCTGCTGCAGACTCTTCTTTAAAAATCGTACATCCATTAGCATTGATGCTAGATAGAACAAATGTGATTTGATATCTTATACAAGCGTGAGGCTTTGCTTACGATGTGCAGCCAGCAGCACATCAGTCTCATAATCTGAGACTGAATCTCTCTCTGTTGCCCCAGGCTAGAGTGCCCTGGCATCTCGGCCTAGCTCACAGCAACCTCAGACTCCTGTGTTCAGGTGATCCTCCTGCTTCAGCCTCCTGAGTAACTGGGACTATAGGCATCCAACCCGACTAATTATTCTTTATTTTAGTAGAGACAGGGTCTCTCTCTTGCTCAGGCTGGCCTCAAAATCCTGAGCTCAAGCAATCCACCCTCCTCAGCCTCCCAAGAGTGCTAAGATTACAAGCACGAATCCACGCATGGCCCCACTTAATTTTTTTTTAAATAAATACCCCAAGTCAAATTTCTATCCTAGTAGCCAAAAGAACAAGTAGCATGATATCACCCAGCTCTTATTGCCTGTGCTATGTCTTTTTCTTCACTTTTTACAGATGACCCTCCTTCTCTGTGACAAACTGCTTCTTTTATATTCTCGATCAGTCTCTCAGTTTCCCAGGCCAGAAGGTTCATGGTCATGTGAGGGGCCATCTTGTCTCCAGCCACCAAATTCATCAGGCCCCATAGCTGGCAATCTTCAACACCACGCACTCTTATCCCTTCTCTGTGTTCCCATTGCTACTGTTGTAGTCCAGATTGTGATCACTTCTGACACTGCAGGCCAAGCTACCGTGATATGAACAGCCAAGATAACACTGACAGCGGTATATTGAGAAGATGGTACTTGAACCATGGAGTGGTAAGATGATTATTAAAGTTTAGTCATTAAAACAGCAGATTAGAGGAGTTGTGACAGTCAGATCAATAAGAACTCAGAAAAAAATATAGACTTATAAAGTAAGTTACCCTATTTCAAAATGATGAAATTCCAAAGCAGTAGGAAAAATATTTTATTTGACAAATGGTTGTGATATAATTGAAAATAAAAATTCCCTAACATACCAAGCAACAAAACTAGAGTTACATAAATTTTGAAATTAAATTTAAAAAAAAGAGAGAAAATAGGAAAATCTCTGGAAAGGGGTAGGGAAAGAACTATTTCTAAGTGTTAACTGAATTCTTAAAGGAAAAGACTAATAGATTTGACAAAAAATATATGAAATATGTTCATAAATTAAAAAGGAGCCTTAAACTAGAGGAGAAAGGCCCAGACTTCAAATAAAGTGATAACATCTTGATTGTGTAAAGACCACATATTAATCAACAAGCAAAATGAAAATAATAGAAGATGACTGCTTTAATTATGAGTTTGTGTCTGATCAACTCTCCTAGCAAAGGCATCTAGAAAAGCTGGGTGATATTTTAAACAGCTGTTTTAAATAACAGGGGAGCTGCCAGGGGAGCTGGGACATGTGAGGCCCCAATCCTGGGGAGCAGAGCAACGCCATGAGAAGAGCCCCAGATTCTGCACTTCTTTTCCCTCCAGGAATTTGTGGATTAGCAACTAGGATTGAGAGAGGCTGAGAAGCAGAGGAAAAACTGGTGTTTAAGGAGGAGAGACGTTGAATCAGGTCTTTGGCAGTTTCACATGGCCAGAGAGACAAAGAGTTGGAATCTGGTTCTAGGGAGGTAACCAAGAAAAGTCAGAGACATGTGTTGCTCAGCACCACACTGTTCCGTTAGGATTTTGCCCATTCAAAAGCAGTACAAGTTTGATTGTATGAGATACAAGCTAAAAAGGGATTTGTAAGAAGCTGAAGGAGCCAGGAAGTGCTTGCAGCGATCTTGCAGAGCTGGGAAGCAGGGCCTGCTGAGGAGGAAGGAGCAGCCCAGTAAATGCTCTCACTCTCAGCTGGGGCTCCTGAACACTGCTTTCTAAAAGAAAGGGGTGACTGTAAGTAGTGCAGGTTTTACAAAACTGAAACCAGATTACGATTAGCTTAACCCCTCAAAGAATTAAGGTGATCTGCCCTTATTCTAGCTGCCAGACAAACGCAAAAAGAAATCCTCCTGTTGAGGAAAGGCAGCCAGAATGTCTGTAATTTTTTAAACAGAACATCTAGAATGTAATGAATAAAAAGAAAAGAAGTGCCAGGGTAAAGAGACAGCATGTGAGAAAGTGAGAGAGAGAGAGAGGGACCACAGAAACAAACTCATGGAGTAATCAGCTATTATAATGATTAGTCCTGTAATTTAAAATATAATAAAACCTTCATAGTTGACCACCTCCCTACACGAACCACCTCCTCAAGTTGACCTAATGTTCATAGACTGAAGATGGACCACTCATACGTATCAGTACGCTAGGCCTAGTTCCTAGTTCCTATGTTGACCAGTCTGTTCCAGTCCCTCGGATGGTCAACTTACAGAGGTTCTACTGCAATTTCTATGAACATGTTCAAAACCAGAAGATAAGAAGGAGAATTTCAGAAGATAACTGCTCTGCATAAAAATTCTAAAGTTGAAAAAGACAATAACTAAAATTAAGAATTTAAGAGTTGGGTTTAACAGCAGAAGGAATTTAAGAAAGGCTTGTTGGACTGGAAACAGGAGAGTTGAAAAGATGCTGTCTATCTACAGAGAGACTTTTTAAAGAGAAACATTCAGAAAAGAATCTAAGGAACGTTTTGGCCATAGAGAAAAGATCTTATGTGTAAACTGAATCCTAATGTGAAAAGAGAAAGAAGGGGAGAGTCAATGGGTCAAGAAGAGAGAAGCGTTACTGAAGAAAAATAGTCATTTAACAATGAAAAAGTGACCAATTCTTTTTTTTTTTTTTTTTTTTGCAGTTTTTTGGCTGGGGCCGGGCTTGAACCCACCACCCCCAGTATATGGGGCCAGCGCTCTACTCCTTGAGCCACAGGCTCCACCCAAGAGTGACCAATTCTCTAAGAACAAGCACAGGCCTAAATCACACAGCTTCAAAACATCTAAAGAAAAGTCAACTGAATGAAAAGAATAGAATCCACTATCAGAATAATAACCACTTACACGCTCACCCCAAAGCTGAGAGAACAAGCAAATATTTAATTCATGAAATCCTCACTGTTGAGGGTGTAATGTATAGCCACTTAGAGATACTGAAAACTGGTGCAATTTATGTGGATATCAATTAGATCCAGCAACTTCACATTTAGACATACCAGATACAACGATTTATTCACATCAATTAAAGCATTTATTACTTTAACAGTCAAATAAGGAAGAAACTAAAAAAGGAAAACACATTTCACATCGTCCCAATAATTCAAACATGTTTGGAAAGTTGAAAAATCTTGACACACACTGGGTTTGCTCCTTCATACATCCTCTCAACACTTCCACTAAAGAACAAAGATAGACCTGCCCATCAAATGATGGTAAAGTTATGGTTAGTGTCATCATTCTCAATGACTTATGTTCTAAGAGACATCTTTGAATAAAAAGGAAAAAAAGCCAAATCAAGATTTGCACAAGATGCTCATTCCTTTGCTAAACTCTCTGTAGCTGCTTTCCTAAAAAGTAAGCACCACTGGCTGAATGTTA